GTTGTGCTCTGTTTTGGCGATCACGTGTTGCCCCGTGTTTTACATAGCTTCGATGTCAAAGAACATGTGGATGGACAGTTTATCCTCCTCCTTCTCTTCATCGTCATTGTCGTCACTGTTTTCATTGGCCCTGAGAGTGGCCAACCCTGCAGCGGTGCCACAGCAAGCTCGTTTTTGGCCCCAACAACTCTTTCGGCATTTTTCCGTTTCTCTTCACGCTCTTGTTCTGGACTTTTGGCAATTTGTAAGAAGCATTGGTGCATGGCAGCTTCCACGTACTCTTTGCAACAGGGGCACTCTTGTGGCCGCAGAGATGACGTTCATGTTCACCTAGTCCCACCAATATTTTTTTGCACTCCTGGCACTTGCAACACTGAGTGCACACGCTGATATTTTTGGCATCCGCGGGTTTTCCATTGTAAGACCGATTTAAATGATTATCCACGCACGTGTCTCCATTGAAGAGAAGCTTGCAAGAACCACAGGGGATGGAGGCTCGTCGACCATGGCATCTGGCTTCTGCGTAATCGGGAGATCCCGTGCGCAGACACGCGGGACAATGATTCATGTTGTTCTTACATGCCTGTTGTCCCTCGTGGTCGTAGGGCTTGAAGCAGTGAGCACAGACATAACTGGTCTTGAAATACGCCGGAAGCGATGTAATGACATCGTAATGTTCATTCTCGTATAGCAGGACCAATTGTTTTTCTTGGGGGTCCAAAAAGATGTCACACGGTAACCACACGCGTCTTCCTTTTGGTATAAGTTCCAAAGTTGGTATTAGGCTGATTTAGCATGAGAACGGGAACGTCACTTGACGACGGCGCGCGTAGTACAAATACCCAAATATGGTCAGATGACGACTGCAGGGCGCGCGGAATAATCTGGATTCTGTTCCAATTTGATCATATTTGGGTATTTGTACTGCGCGCGTCGTCGTCAAATGACGTTCCCGTTCTCTTGCTAAATCAGCCTATTCTACCGTAAGTAACGCGAGCTTACTTCTCTCCGAGCCAGAGGTATTATCTGGAATTACTCGTCCCCGTACTCACCGTTTGACCCTCAACCACCTCATAATGCGACGCAAAACTTTATATCAACGCTTTAAATAATACTATGTTTGTTTTCAGCGACTTCATCTCATTACAGCAGGATAAAACCGAGATAGAAAAATATATTGCTGCCACGTTGAATGGTGAAAGGGAATTTCAACTGAAGTGGAAATTCCTTCTCACCATTTAAGGCATTTCAATTAGTAATTTGTTTCGAGGTCCTTTTTTATAGTTTGTATGTTGGTTTTTTTTCTATAATTAAGTAATTACACTGTATTGTAACTCCTTAAGTAACGTAATGTGTAAGTCATAATAAGTAATTATTGCATATTGTAAGTAAGTAAGGTAATGCCAAGTATTGTAAATAGTTTTTTTTTATGTATTGTAAGTGACATTTGTAAGACAGTAAAAGCACTAGAAATAATAATAATAATAATAGTAATAATAATGATGATGATGATGATAATAACAATAATGTAGTGTATTGTAAGTAGGTTAAGTATTGTGTCGTGTTCTAAGTAGAGTAAGGCAATGTAAGTAATCATGTGTTTAGCAATAATAATAGTGGCCTCTCGTTCAAAAAAAAAAAAGAAATTAAAAAAAACACGCGCGACGACTACTATTAGTAACTGGTAGTTGAAGAGACTGGACGCTAGTGCAAATTTGGCAAGTTCTTCGTAGCCACAGGGTCCTTGTGGCACGTCTGCTTCCAAATGCAACTGAATGGCCTAATCTTTCTGAATGGTTCTTCCATCTTTAAAACCGCTCCATTTTGGGTGACGGTCGACGTAGACCTTGGCCGTTACGAGGGTTCTGGCACAACACAACTCGTCCCTGGTAGCCATAACTATTTGTCTGACAATTACTCGACAAATTAAAGTAGACCCAGTCGTTCTCTGGTATCCGGTCACGAAGGATCTAGTTCTGCAACATCGATGAATTCTATCGGTTAAAGCCGCACACAAATTTTGACGGGAAAGAAGTCGACCCACTTGGCGAATGTTGTGTAATGGCTTTCACTCACACCCATCTTCTCACCACGGCGGTCCACGTACGGGTTTCACGTAAAATCGAACCAGCCAGGCTCTAAAGCATTGATGCTCCAACCAATCTGCCCTTGCAAAGCCACTTGACGTTCTACATCAGAGACTGTTTCATCCAAAAGAGCATCGTCTGCTTCATCGTCTGGGAAGGCCTCATCCTGAGTTTTCTTGCTGGCATTGTATCATTCCAAGATCTCGTCGATCGACGGGTTGAAGATCCGCCCCTTGGTGATTAACCTGTTTCAAATCAGTCAAGAAGGTAATTAAACCTGTCAAAATAGATGCTTTTTCCCGCGCTAATATATCGGCTTTTTATAGCATTCTATTGCACGCGCGTTTCGCGGAACGGGGAAATGCAAGGCGAACGGGAACGTATTTGCCGTTTCTGCAAAAAGCTATTAAATCCGCCTGAAGGGAAAAGAGTGCCGGTGGCGTCAGTTTTTAACAGGGTAAAAAACAAAGAACTGACTGGGGCTTCTGGTCAAGAGAGTGTGGTTTTGGCTGCCGAAGTTGAAAAGCTAGGACATTGTTTACACCGTGGAATGAATTTCCCTGAATTGTCTTGCCTTTCTTGTGCCAGACAAGTCGTTCGCAAGGTTCATTCTTGCACAGTAATAACAAGCCGTTGCGATGAACCTTTGGAGAAGCTGGTAGATTCACCCGATCAATTTACAACACCAACTAGTAGTTCTAAACGACCTACAGCGGTTCGATCACTGACTGGTGAAACCCCTTCAGCGAAACGCAATAAAGAAGGAAACGCGATCGACGAAGAAAGTGCAACGGGCAAATCTTCAAGGAGATCGCTCAGCTTCCAGCAGGGATCAATAGAGGCATTCCCCAAAGAAACAGAAAATCCCCTCACATTGGAGGAGAAAATTCAAGCCCGGATGCACGTACCATAAGAAGAGAAGCCTGTTGTGAACGTAACATTTGGTTTGAGTTTATTTGAGATTGCAAAGTATTACTGTAACAATAAATTTGTTACTATTCGAATTAGATCTTCACTGGATATCCCAAATCAGGGAAGGTCGAGGAACATGTGTGCAAGGAAGCATTAGAAAAAAAAAGCTGTAAGGAACATCGCTTTAAATAATCCTGGCGCCGCTGCAGCAGCTCTTTGCAACATGGATTCCTTGAGGGAGAACATCTTTGCAGAGACCACCAAGCGAGTTTTGAAAGAAGTGGTGAACTTTTCACTGGTAAGAATTTAGTTCACATTCCTGAATTACATAGTCAATTCAAATCTGACAAATACAAGATGAAAAGTGCACAATCTTGAGGCCTTTCAATTGTTACTTTGAATACATGTACTTTATTTCAGAATGGAAGTGTCGAAAAAATTATAATTTGTCTTGTGCTCTTAGTCCATTTATGATATGACTGAAAAAATTTCTTCATTGTGATTGGCTGGGAGCAGGCCAATTTATTTTATTTTAATTCTTAGTTTGCACCGCAATGCAAATTAATGCGGACGCATTCACAATTTTCGCAGACAAATAATAAATAAGTAATTGTATGAAAGCTTGAGCAATTAAGGATTTACGATACTCGTGATATTTGAAAATTCTTTGAAATTGCTCTCGCCTAATGGCTTGTTAAATTGAGAGAATTTGCAAATATCACTTGTAGTGTAAATCCATAACTGCACTTGCATTCATATGATTACCTATACTTATTAAATTTGAGATTGACTATGTGAAAAGGAGTGTTTACACATTGAATTCACCTTGTTTAAATGGCTCAGAACTCCAATTCATAGTCTGGAACCAATGATTCTTCTGTTTCTCCATAGCCAGAATCAAAAGACACAGAACTTGAAAGTAGGTAGCTTTCAATATCTGTAAATTGTTTTTTCAACAAGTGACGCTCATCCATTTCCTGATCAAATTGAGTAATGTCTCCAAATAGTTCCTGAAATACTTCCAACACGTCAATAGCATGAATTGATGAATACATGGCCAAGTTGTCTGTGAGATATTTTCCTGAGAAGACATGGTTAGCATGATCAACAATGTCATTAATCAGTTTGTCTGAGAATCCATGGCATGTTTCCTCATGAAATAAGGAGACAAGTCCCGATGAATATCTTTCTTTCAGTTCCAACAACGATAAGCGGAGGTCGTTCTTGTCTAGCTCAATCAAATCTCTTGGTGTGTAAGTACTAGACTCTAGTACAGAAACATTCTCAGGTGTTAAGCTGTCCACCAGCTTGTCAACATCACAGGACCCATCTATTGAACATTGGCATTTCTTCCGACACAGTGAACAACAGTCATGCCCTGGTTCCTTGGATGAAACAGACTCCTAAAAATGCCCATATAGCTTCTCTCTCATGCAATTTTCACTCTTAACCAACTCTTTCACATCTTTATCGCACCGTGAAAGTTGACGCTTTGTAGTGTAAACAAAGCTGTAGGCTTGATGACCAGTTCTTCCAGCTCTACCAGCTTGCTGAATTATTTCAGTGACAGTTTGGGGTGGCCCGTAATGAATGACATACCGAACATTGGGGAAATGTACACCCATTCCCAGAGCACATGTTGCAACAACAACCCTCTGGGTGCCATTTCCTTTGAAGTCCTTCTCAGTACGCGACTTCTGGATATCCCACAATTTTGCATGGTAAACACCAATCAGTGATACTTTACCTCCCTCCTGTTCTACAAAGGCACTTGCTCTCAAGTTCATTAGCAAATAGCTAA